TATTTTTTTTTCCCACTTTAAGGCACTCCGAAAGGACGGTTTCGACTCAAATACACCCGGTAGGTCCTTACTTTCATTGACAGTAATTAATTCAGTTGTGTACGAAGCGGTTTGTGATAGTTGGATTAATATGATGTTTATCTTCACTTCATTTTCCAGCAAAGACTATACGAAAAAGGCTCTACACCTTCCTGCGTGGGTAGGTTAGTCAGTGACAGACATCGTCAAAGACCTCACCACTGGGACATTGTTTATTTTCCCTCCTCACCTTCTCCCATTCCTTGTTTATCCTTCCCAATTTGAAATTTAAATAATGCTGTGCTCCCCACCTGGTAATACACACTGCGGTGCTGCATGTGTTAATAATAAATTGCATAGGATGTACAAATCCTTCCTCCTCGGGAGAATTTCACGGCCAAATTAAGCAGTCGTAGGCGTTTATGTATTTTTTCTTTTTTGAGAGGAGAGGAGGGAGGGGGAAGAAAAGCGTTCCATCCGCTGAGGGCGCGACAGCGAACGATGGAGGTGGTCAAGACGGTGGTGTGGCAAAGTGGGTTTTGCAGTGTTACTCGCGCCCATTTCAGCCACACACGTTTGAATGCGCGGGTTGTACGCATCGCTGAGGCACTCTTTACAATAAAATTACTCAACTGAGGCCCCACGGTGGGACACACACAAGTGATGAGACTAAAGGACACCAAAAAAGGGCAAACGAGACAAAACGTTTGATTCTTTTTTTACCAAAATCCTTAGTCATCTCAGGGAGCCATTAGGTACTCACAAATTCTTCATTAACTAGGACTGCTCGGCCTAGAGAAACGGGGAATTTGGTGAAAAAAATCTACCAAATTCGCTAAATTGCGATGCATTTTTAGGGCTGTATTTTCCTTCACCCACACCTCGATGGAAGAGGGTGAGCGCTTTTTAGGGAGAATGAACACAGTGAGGTGGTCACTTCAACTTCAAATCATTAAAATGCTAATTTATTCAAAATTTCCCACTCATTCATTCCTCTGGTGATGTACAACAAGCGGCACATAGCACTTGCTGTAAAGTTAATTCGACTGTTTTGACTGCCTTACAAGCGGAAAGTGGTTTTCCTACGAGGTGGACTGTCAATAGCCGTGTAAAGCGTACGCACAAACCAAATTCTGTGCTCTTCACTTTGTCAACCGATCATGGTTGACTAAATCACATCTCAAGATCTGAGGTAGGCGTGGGAGGGGAGCAAACCTCTTCCCAATTCGCACCACCTTGGATGCAGTTAGAGGGACATTTCCGAGTCCACAAGATTACTCACATTTTCCACAGTTTACAGCACTTATATCACACACATTATGCGTATCCCCTTTATTACCCAATTCAACGGTTGTACTGCAGTTGTGTCCTTCCCTACTTGCTGCCCCGGGCTTTCCTCTCCAAAATCCAGTGTCAATAACCTCACATTGTCCATGTGTTTGTTGAGCGCCTAATGTAAATACATTTAATCTTCAAATTTATTGGGGTATTTGTGTGTGTGTGTGTGTGGAGTTATTGTTTGTTTTGCGTCGCCTCTAGTCCGTCCGCCTTGTATGCATGGCAAGGTGTTGGCCACGCCGTTGAAGCACAGTACTGCAGAAGGCAACCCTCTTCGTCAAAAATAACATCCCACGGTAATAATGCAGACATGAGTGTCTCCTTTCCTTACAAGTACGCTCCTAAGTATGCAAGTTTTAATACTAATCGTAGGACTAAGATTTCTTGCTTCTAAAGTGGAATAAAGAAATGGGTAGGGCAGTGTCCATTTGGGCAAACTCCTCTCTCTCCCTTTGGAATGCGGTGGTTAGCACCCCTTTTTTTTAACGCCTCGACATAAACACTTTTGTTCTCTCCTACTAGTACGAGGGTGGGTGAAGATATATTTAATTTCCCTGTTTACAACCACCTAGCGTTTGTTTTAACTTAGCAATCTGTCTACTTATTTGGATTTCAGCGTCTACAAAAAATAATCAAAAATAAATAATAAGATGTTTCCAAGTGTTTAAAGAAGGCAAAGCCTAAGCTGCTTTGAGGAGTGAGCAAGAGACCTTTAGTGATAAGGTGGGAGTACTCAAGCCTATTAGAAGCTGACAACTTTCCATCCATCAATTTAACAAAATTGTTATTTCCTCCGCCAACTCGATTGACAAGTGTCAATAAGGAATGAAACAGATTTCGTCTACCAACTGGCAAGAGGCTCAAGTAAGGTGGGAGAGGAATTTATCTGAGGTATAGAAAGCTGGGTGCACGCTGTAAGGTTAAATAGTGACATGAAGTGGACACGCAGTGTTGAGTTTGCGGATGAAATATTTGAACAGACATTAACGATGATAGTGACGATGCAGAGCGTGAAAGGGAGGGAAGAGAACTTCGATCCGGGTTTGTTTGTTGCACTTATTAACAAAAAAAATTGCAGTAAGTATGGATCTACAATTACCATTTCTCCATTGTGCCACAAATACGTTCCGCTCCCTGCCCTTCATAAATAAATGGGAGAGCAGAGGTGAAAATAAGCCCACCACACAGGAACGACTAGCAAGAAGTTGTGACAGTGTTGATAAGCCACACAAATGAGTCGATCACCCATGGTTGGAGCTGATTTGAAACTTGACAATGCCGTCCTCACCACCGCTGTGGGGCAGTGACGGTTGTAGAAAGGTGAAAAACGGTAGCCAAGGTTCACAAGCCACCCCATTTGAGGGTTCAACTGGTTGCCGTCTAGACCAGAACATTGTATACCGCTCTGTACTTTAAGACCTTGCGCAGATGATGTCAAGTGAAGCTGCTAGCCTGGCCTTGGTTCGGAGAAGAGAATGGAAGAGTCTATTTACAGTGAAGAATCTTGACCAGAAAGCAGATAAAGAGGCTAAATGAGAGGCTGTAAAGCTGCGTCTATGCCCATTGACTTTCAATGCTGCCATAATGTCCAAACACAAACAAAAATGGTATCTACTCAGCTTTACACTGTCGTAGTGACATAACCTTTTCGACATGGACTTCTTGCTGATAGAGCATCCCCTCGAGTTTACGCACCTTATGAAGTTGGGTAATTACGAGATGGGTTTTCACGGCGCCCCGAAGCTAAACTTATTTTTAAAATGAGGAACTCAGAGACTCGTAGGCGCAAATATAGGCGAAAACGCAACTGCTACAGGCAGCACAAGACCTCACAAAGTCTCAGTTAGTAGACCAATTGATTTACTTAGTTTTTTGACACCTGAGTTGCCGCTTCCAATACCTTCAATTAACAGACTTAACATAAAGCAGGAAAGAAGGAAAAGCAAAAACTTAAAACCAAAATTTGCGTTGCTTTTCTTGGGTGTTTTTTTTTACCTACACTGTCGCAGGAAACTTATCACGCAGTGATTGACAGCTAGCTCAGCGGTTTCGGCTAAAAATACAGGAAAATAAAAAGAATCTCTTATGACCGGAAGGCCCCAAAGTACGTGTCTCGGCGACACTGAGGTGGCAGTAATTTCGCCGCATAACTTATAATGCATTATTTAGTAAGTGAATGGCTTCCTCTCCTTCGCCCCTCTCCCTCACCTCGCTAATATCTACCCACTCATGTCCATGTAGCCATGTAAACGAGTACTCTCTCGGCGTTGGTCATAACTTGGCATGCATTATTCATGTACTCTGGACCCAGCATTAGGCTCAGAAGTGTTCTTTTTCCAAGATAAGGAAATAAGAATTTGGATGGACAGGTACACATCCGACACCCGATTGGTGATAAATACTGCTTCATACTGAATCGACTGATACATAGACAACTGATTTGTAAGTCGATAGGATAAAAATGAGAGGTATGCTAATTTATCATCGAAACATCCAAATAGGCTGCACAATTTGGGAGTTGTGAGTAAATCAACTACTAATTGGTGTAAGTAGCATGCGGAGCCATTCGTATTAACTCAACCGATGACCTGCTGACAGAGGATGGTGGGGAGGAATCAGAAGTTTGTAAAGGCAAGCCAACGGAAAGCTTCAGAACGCATCGAAACGCTGCATTACCTCGTGCTGAGACAGCACAAGCCAACTCTGGGACCACATTATTAACAAATTAATTTGCCTGAGGGAAGTCAAGGCGAACCAAGTTTCATCGCCTTTACTCCCACTTAAAGAAGAATAAGCATGGTATGGGAATCGCGAATAAGGCGTCCCTTGGTCTAGAATTCACATCCTTCAACACTTCCTGACTTCTTGAGGTCTTTGACTTCTTCCAAATCAAAGACCTAACTTCTACTACTGCTGATAAAAAATAAATGATCTACCCAGACTTCCAGGATGGATAGAGGCCTGAGAAAAACAAAACCAGTGTTCACAAAGCCCATTTCCTATCTTAACTTAGCATTCCATTAGTGTTCACCTGCTAATACATTTGAGTTAGATCGAGGTGGCCATCATCTTCCCCGAATTTTTGAAACGTATTCAATGACTATTAATATAGAAGGATAAGGAACTTTCCTGAGTTTCACGCTTTTATCTGGAACCACATCCAACAACTCACTATAATACCACACCTTTTCCAAGCTGCATTAGAAGATTCAAACCCATAGGTGATTCATATTTGTTTGCCAAAGGAGGAGACAGCGGTGCACCTCCATTATTAGTGGCTTGATCTCAGCCCCATTCCGCGTTTATCATACCGTCTCATACAGGCATCAACATGAACTAGAAAACTTAGACAACTTTAACCTGATAAGACCTGAAGTCTACTACAGCAGATGACTGAAGAGACAAAGATGCTATGGGATCCAACTAGTAAGCACTGCGATGCCATTCCTAAAGGAAAAAGAATTGAAAATGCTTATCCTGTATTATTAATACTTTGCTACTTACACCAAACAGTAGCATATCTACCTAAGCAACATCGCCACAGCACCAACACCCGACAGTTCCATGTAGAAATGAACAACCTCAATGCTACAGTTATCAATATGCTTAAAGCTTTGCTATACACAATTTCATTCGAGCCTGACCTACTTAGAGGGAGAGTTTGATGAAGAAAGTCCGAGGAGATTAGCGGGAAACCACGAAGGTCGTTTTCGATCGACACGATGAATGTATGCACCAGATGTGCCAAAATTTTCCTGGTCGTAAAGAAACTGAGTCTCATTATCATGTGGAAGGCCCTCGCGAACCGACTTCAAGCTGGCACGTAGAGCATTTGTTTCTCGACGCACCTCGTCGTAGCAGCGAACTAAAAGGCGCGAAGTAGACACTGCAGACATAAAAAAGATGATTCTGCTCCCAGAGATACGAGAAGAAACTTCATTATCTCCTTAAAACCCTGTACTAATACTCGGTTCCTCTTGATTATTCTGTAGCCACAGAAATGATCATGTTTGAGATTTCATTAGTGAAAAAAACCAACGAAAGACTAAAAGGGGTGGTTTACCGCAAATCGATTCGCGGGGATGCCAACTGCCACAATGTGGACAGGTAACCAAGTCCCTCCTCAGCCGGTATTTATCCATCGTATCTTAAACAAAATGACGAGCTAACCTCGACGTACAAGAAAGAAATTTTCGCGCCCTTCGCACCTCAATGCTGCGCCGCTTTTTCGGAGTTGCAAAATAAATCGAACCATTCCAAATATCCCATATATCGGACATCCCGAATTTTGTCGGCACGACTGATAAGTCGGCAAGGCAAAATTCTAAAATTAGCCTTTCCTAATTCTGTAAGGGGAGAATTTACCATGAGGGCTATGCCCAAGAATCAAATCGCTAACAGTCTTTGCGAGTGAGCAAAATCGACTACAAAGATCACGCATCCCCCAGTTATTTACTCACCTCATGGCCATACGATAATGACCTTCAAGCACATGTAAATCACAGACCATAGAATTAAATTAGGGAATTTTCGCTTCATTATTCTGCAATTATAAAGTTAAGACAAATGCGGCACCAAAATTTATGCTAAGTCATCTGCCTTTTAATTGCCGTTATTATAGCCCATTTGTGTTTGCTTGCCATTATTTCTAAAAGCGATTAAAAGCAGATCGGGAATTCAAAAATTGACCAAAACTAATTTACATTGCAGAATGCTTATAGCATTTTGGCAGGATCACATTATTGCATTCTGTAGCTCCCCGCTGTATATGATAAGGGGAGTAAGGGTTAAGGAGAGAGGTTGGAGTTAGATTTGGCCCGAAGATCAGCCTACACGCACAATAAGTCGCCTCTAATAGTTTATTAAATTGACAATCTGATATCTAGCGGTTACGTTGGTATTTTTCCGGTACTTGTATGCAGAGACTCGCCTTCGGGTCACGCCCGGGCTTAATATGATTTTCCCCTCGGAATACATGCATTTTAGCCCAACTTAATGCCTTCTTCTGTTTATTAGGAAGACTTGGAACTCTACATGAACAAATGCAGTACTTTCGATTAGAAAGTAAGAACCATTTAGAGGAATCTCTGTTGGCTATTATTTTTGTTCAGGGCGAGAGGTTTAGCTATTGTTCCTAAACGGATGTTCATTAAAGTGGATGAGGCATGGTCCCCTTCGGAAGAGAATTATCCATAGTGTCAAAATCGACATCTAAGCGAATGCTGTGGGGAAAGCTGCGACGCGAGATTCTTCCAGATTTTATAATGGCGGTGTCAAGATCATTTGTTAACAGCTTGCCTGTGGGACACCACAATGGGACAGAGCCAGACTCGGACATCCTTTGCAAACCAAAGTGCCTGTATTTCCTTTGCACAGCAGAAGGATGCCACATATGGTGGCCACCGGGACAAAAGTCGTTAAGAGTGTCGTGCTCAATTTCTGCAACCACCAATGTAGCCCCCTAAGACTTCCCGCCAGCCAGGAGGCTTTAAGTAAGAGGTTAATACACGTTTTAAAAGGAAAAAAGTAGGTAAATTTGGCCTAGCTTTGGACCAAAAGCCAGGTTGCACGCACAAGAGCAATATAAATACCAAAGCAATCGCCAGACACGCAGGTTGTCACATAAACAAAGCATTGTAAACATGGTGTCTTTTATTGCCGTGTCCCCCCATATTTGTAGCATGCAATTCTGGTGTGAAGAAGAGTTGGGAGACCAGATTGCACCAAAATTTACGACTGCTCGTTGAAGAAACTTTGATGTACACTTCAACAATCTACAGTTGTTGCCAAATATCCTCTAAACGCTCCATTTCAAATACCCCATTTTATTACAATCCGAGGCTTTCCATTTGTCAAGCGAAGGCATTAATTTGAGCAAAATACTTGTGTTCAGGGAGAAAGGAAAGGAAGTGGGCTTTATCTACGCCCAACATCAGTCCACGCAAGCACGAAAAAGGCAAATACCAAAGTAACCGCCAGTCCTAAAGGCAGTCAAATAAGCAAGGCATTACATCTCTTTTAGGCAATATAAACACATTCAATACATTGGCGTTATTTTCATGTAAGAACGGCTTGTCACTACAACAGCCTAAGTGATCGCATTGTTTCACGTGTCTCGGTTTTTAGCTTTCCAATTTACTTATCTCCACACTTCCAGTATTCAACAGATATTCACAGCTAAGTCCTACATTTCTAGGGTATATTGAAGGAGCAATCGACGTGTAACATCTTCTTGCCTAACATTTACAGCTATGGAATTAAAACTCTGGAATGCGTCTGTAATGCATTGTTTATGTGACCGTCTGCATGTCTGGCGGCCACTTTGTTATTTGTCGTGCCCTTGTTCGCTTATGCTGGCCTTTGGGTCGGGCTACGAATTAATCTCTTTTTCACTCCCTAAAACACATGTTTTTAGCCCAAATTAATGCCCTCTTCCGCCTTGTGGGGAGTTACGGGGTGCTACAGCATGATCATTTGAGCATTTTTTTTTCTTACAGCAGTACCAAGGAAGAGTCACAGATAAAAGAATAGTATTTATTGCTAAGAAGGGGAGGAGCTGGAGATAATCACCATTACCGAACAAGCTCGAGACCTCCCGCTACGTAGAAAGCAGTTAGTAGTGCTGAATGCACGTGTTCAAAAGGAAAGGGACAGGGAGTGGGCTTTGGCTTGGCCCGTGGGCCAGTCCATGCGTACATGGACAAGGGAAACATCAAAATGACTGCCAGTCATGCAGGTGGTCACATAAACCAAAACCAAAATAGACCGAATTGCACATTTGTGCCAACTTTTGTTATAGAATAAAGAGCCGAATAGAACACCAAATCACACCTGTAATTCGTTGTTCATTTGACTACTTGTATGATCAGTAGTTGCTTTGGCGACTGCCTTGATTCTGCTGAGTGGAGTGGCCTTTCGATCATGCCAGAGGCCACTTCTGTCCTTTCCATCTCAGTACAATCATTCTGCCAATTCTTATTGCCTTCCATTACCAAATGTCGG